TGGGCCCCCTCGAGGTGTTGCTGCTGACACAGTGGCACACACGCTCAGCTCTTTTCTTTCGGGGGGGGCTCGGGGAGGGGGATCCCCTCCAGGTTTTGATCTGGTACTTTGAGTAAGAGCCCAGGGGAAAGTAAGATAAGAAAGTTTCCAGCCTCTCGGAAATACCCTGTTTCGGTGCTCTTGTCTGATATCTGCAAAACCAGGAGCCAAGAGGGCCGCAGACAGCAGCGGGAGGGCGTCATCTGCATTCCTCGGGCAGTAAGTGTCACAAACCAGCCCTATCTGAGATCCTGGATGCGTCCTGTGAGGTGGGTAATCACAGGCACCGGGCAAGTGCGCTCCTGGCAGCGGCATTACGTACCCTGAGTTTTCAAGTTGGTTCCAAACAATCTCAGTTGTTCTGAGTCAAACCGCACCCACGTGACAGAATTCTGAAAAACTACTTTCAACTGAATCCAGGTTCCAGCCCGGCCTTGAAACTCTGGGTCAAAGCTGTTGTAATCAGTGTGGAGTTTAATGCATACAAGCAAGGCTTGTGTTCAGCAGCAAGCTCTGTGGCGATGATTTCCCACTTGAAATAGAGTTTTTTAGCTCCAGAGATCTGCATGTGTTAGGTCTGTGCAAAGTCAAGGCTGGTACGATGTTGAAAGTTTCACAAGGACTTTTTACTTCCCAGTGCTCACACAGCACAAGTATTTTCTGCCTTTTCTTATAAGAGAACCTGCTTTATCTAAGAAAAACAGAATTCCCATATGGCAGTCTATAAGGTTAGTTTGGATATGCAGATGAAACTCAGCTTACACATCTCTGAGGAGGTGAAGGCTCCTTGATTCATTTTTAGTGCCTTGTATTTAGCCAAAAGCTGTTTTCTATAGAGCCTGAGAGTAGCTAATGGTGTGAGACTGTGGGTACCGTATGATTATTTTTTTGTGTGCTTATTCTAAATTCATACTGTAGGAATCAGCTCTTGCTAAATCTGTGATTTATTCTAGATTTAGATGTCTCAATGGATATGTGGACCTTTTTTTATATTTGCCTGGCGTCCGTATGGCTGCACAGATTTTACATCTATTCTGCTGTTGCTTTTGGGATCAGCATTTGGATTGTTTTTCAGTTCACCGCCACCAGAACCAAGAAGAAGGTAACTGAACCTGTAAGCGCTTTTGTCCAAGAAGGCCCTGAAATCTGTGTGTGGAACTGAGTAGCTGCTGGGTGAAGGTACCCACTGGTGCAGTGAAACTTGCTGCTTCGCTGTGAGCCCACCTGAGGTTGTTGCCAATCCCAGTTGCAGTTTAGTTTGCAGTTTAGTTCATCTGGTGGTTATAATCCTCAGCCTGGATGGTCTCCTATTTGCAGGTGACTAAACATCCTTGTTGCTCTGATGTTAGAGCAGATCTCTGCTGAATGCTGCTCGCTTTGTTACTGAGAGGATGTGTCAGAGTATAATCGCTCTGCTTGCGCCCAGTGTTGCCAGGTTCGTGTTTCCTGTGATGTTAATGACAAAGTTGGACTGATTTTAGGACAGGAGTGGGAGTAGGCTACTTGGGAAGTTAAAACATCCTCGTGCAGGTGAGTGAAGTTCTGCTGCACGAGTTGGGAGGCTCTCGGATGCAGCTGGATCCTATCACCTTCCCAGTGTGTGCGAGTTTATTGTAGCATGGCCTAGTTCAGAGAAATAGTTACTCGTGTGTTTCTCTAAGTGTGAGACGCTAAAATGCTTTGACTGTTGCGTTTGCGTAGTGCTGAGAGTCTCGTCACAGGATTTGTATTGTAAATGCTTTTGGGAAAATGGCATTAATGTCACTTTGAAAGGGGATTGAGTGAAACACAGTGCTTGTTCCCTAGAGTGAAAAATCCACTGTGAATCCAGCTGCTTCTGTAGGAATAGAAGACACACTAGTAAATGGATATGCCACCCTGCAGGCAAAGGAGGTCTCTGTTGCTGGAGTGAAGATATTCTATGGGTCTCAAACTGGCACAGCAAAGGTATTAGTATCTTTTTTTTCACATCCTTGAAGTTGATTTGAAATATTGTTGAGATTGAAGTATGTTGCTTGCCTTAGAAACACTGCACTGTGTAAACATCTGAAAGTTCATCAGAATGTTCATTAGAAGTCACTGCCCAACATGAAAGATAAGTGAAGATTATATAAAAATAAGTTATTCTACTCCCATCGTTTAAGTGGGGCATACAGTAGAGACATTGATTATGAAGCTTAAAGTTTACTCTTACAATATACCCTTAATTTGCTAGCAGGTCTTGTTAGAGTGAACTGCTGCTTTAGGTGCTTGTGTTCTCAAAGAAATTTAATTTGTGTGTGTGCATCTAAAATAGTTAGTCATTAAAATTCATGAAACTCTTCTTTCAGCCACTGTACTTCACTTTTTTAAATGTGAGGCATTATAGGTCCAGTGTCTTAATTCTCCTGTGTCATTGTTCTTCCCGTGCTGGGAGACATCTTGTGACTGTTGGCCACAGCAGGGCTTGTTTGACCCTTACGATAGCTGGATTGAACTAATTGATAACTTTCAACATTTTTTTTTTCCCCCAGAGATTTGCTAAAGGTCTTGCTGAAGCAGTTATTTCCCTTAATTTGCCTGTGGAAGTCATTAGCATGGGAGACTATGATCCAGATGATTGTTTAGCAGAGGAGGTAGGTACCTCATAAATATGAATAATAAATACAAGCTTTTCCTGGGATTGCGAAAGCTCTTTTCTTTCTTGTATTTCTTTCTTGTTATCCTGGAAATCCCTAAAGTTGTGTGTTAAAAATTGCTTCCCTTTTACATAAGCAAGTATAGCCCATCATCCCTCAGCAGAAAGTACCTGAATTTTGAAAATTTACTAGGAAAGAATTGGGTAGAACATTTTGATACTGACAGTGGTTTTGTAGTTCTGTAACTCAGGTGTAAATTAGGTGAGAGGGGCGCACCAAGTCCCCCTGTTCTGTCTCTGACAGCATACACCCAGGGAAGGGTCCAAAACCAGAACAAGTGGATAGTGATACTTCTGCAGCCTTCAAAGTCTTAGAAACTGCTTGGGAGGTATATTTATATTGAGTAATCTGTGATTAACTGATTTTGGTTTTTTTCCTGTAAATATTGATAGTTGCTTTTTGAATCCATGGGAGACTTTATTGCGGCAAGAGTCTGTTCAAGCAGCTGTTGCTTGGGGTAGGGAAGGTAGGCGTCCAGTTCTGGTTTACTACCATGTCCCTCTTAGGTAGGGGGAAGACAGCTTGGTCTCCCTTGGCTGGTTTAAGATGGCTTTGCAGGGAGGATTGACTTTTCACTACCATGGGGATTATCAACTGCAGTGTCCCACAGCAAAGATTCGTAACCCACTTAGCAAAAAATCTCATCTTTTGACTTCTTGTAACTGTCCATGTGTTACAGCTCTCTTCCTGATGTAGTGTGTTGTGAAAAACGTGTGAGCTTTTCTATTCTGTTCTCTTTATATTATTAGACAAGCAGCAGGAACATTTGTGTGTTCTTGGTAGCTACATACACAGATGGACAGCCAACCGAGAGTGCCGCGTGGTTCTGCAAGTGGTTAGAAGAGACTGCGAATGACTTCCGCGTTGGGAAAACTTATCTGAAAGGCCTGAGATACGCTGTGTTTGGCTTGGGAAACTCAGTTTATGTTGATCATTACAACACAGTAAGTATCTGCTGTGCACCTGTCTTTGATTTCTGCTCCTCTGAAAGGCTAAGCTTCCTTGAATACTATAAAACAGAACGATACTGGTAGTTTGTGTGAGAATTGTAGCCGTTGTGCGGACTTGATTAGGGATTGGGTTTAAGGCACAGGTAATGCAGCTTTGAAGCGATTGTGCTGCCCTTTTAAATGGGAAAGGAGTCCCATAAGCACTGCATTAAGCTGGGAGGTATGGTAATACATTTGGTAAATCCTTACTGAGTTAATTACCCAGCTTTGAAAGCTTTATATCAGTGCCTGAGGGTACAGTACTGTAAACCCTCTCACTAGCTGCCTTTTAGTTTAGAGCGCTTTTCTCTATCTTATGTACTTTGCTGTATTGTGTGGATTTAGCTTTATTTCCTGATGGAAAATATGACAATATCTTAGCCCAGTAATTAGTTTCATCTCAGTCAGAAAAATGGTATGACTTGTCACCAGGTTGTTACGGTTGTGTAGCTGGGGCCCCATGAAATGCGTTACACATGAGGGCGTTTTGACCAACATCCACAGTACAAGGCAGCTTGTTCCCAGAGCTCATCTCTTATCCCATCAGCGTGATAGCAGAGATGTTTTCAGATGGGAGCCTGAGGGTGTGTGGTGGTGGTCAGACTGACTTGTGGCTGTGCTGTGAGTCAGCAGGTGAGAGGGACTCCAGAAGTCCCTGCCTGGCAGCCCTGTGCAGCTCACTGGCTCTGTTTCCAGGCTTGGTCCTTGCTTTCTTAATTGCCTGCTTTAACTTGGGCTTCATTTGATTTCCCTCTAACTTTCGTCCTATCCTAGGTTGGAAGAAATATTGACAGGTGGCTGTGGATGCTCAGTGCCAGCCGTATCATGACTCGTGCCGAGGGGGACTGCAACGTGGCCCAGAGCAAACATGGCAGCATTGAGGCCGACTTTGAAGCCTGGAAAGCCAAGTTCCTTGGTCGGCTCCAGGCCCTCTGCAGAGGGGAAAAGAAGCCCTGCAGTGGGAAGTGCAAGAAAGGGAAGTGCAAATCTCCAGGGAAGCAGAGGAAGGAGGGCTCAGATCACGAACATAGGGCATCAGAATACGAGAATGCTGAGGTAGAGCCAAAATCTGTGGGGTGTTGTTTCTGCTTTAGTGCCCTGTGGAGTGCTATTTGACTTCTCTCCTTCCTCCTACAGCCCAGAGGGGTGCTCTGGCAGCTTGATAGGAGCAGAGGGGGAAGAGGGATGAGATCCCATGGCAGGTAACAGGCAGAATAAGCCATCCAAAAAGCCAGACCAAAGCATTAGTCATGGACTTAGGCTAGATGGCATTTATATGATGAGGGAGCCTTCCCCTTGAATAGGGGGAGGCGTGTGTTGTGACAGATGCTCCAGGGAGCAAGTCTGGGTTCTCATCACAGTCTTTGCTTTGTCTCGGGGCCAGATGAAGCATTTAGTTCCCTGTGAGCAGTTAACCTGCTTCCACTTCAACTTGTTGAGCTTAAGTGCTTTGCCTGCACCTCAAGGTTTTTCCAAAGGCAGTTGGGAGACTGTTATCTGAGCAAGTCCTGTATTTCCTTGGAATGTGCCTGTGTGTAATCACTTGCGTGTCTTCTGGAGTGTTTGTGGATTGCAGGTTTTGAATAAGAAATCCTCTCTCTTGCTATATAGTGCAAGACCCAGAGCTGCTATGGCACTTTAATCCTCCCTGCAAGCCATTTATTGTGGATTTGAAATGATTGCTATGGCCATGTTGAATTTTGTAGGGAAGTGGGTTTGAGAGTGCTGGCTGCTGCAGGAACAAGAGGAATAAATCTTGCTGTGACACTGATGCTGTTGTGCTGTACCTTGGTTGTGTACAGAAAGGAGACAACTTTTCTGCTCTGTGAAGAGTTTGACTCGGAAAGCAGATCTCTCACTTCCTGTCCATTCAGACAGGGGCACTTGGAGGAGTTGAAGGGGTTTAAGCTTTCAGATCATCACAGTATGCTGTGGGAGTGTTATCCTCTATATCGTTTCTCATGCGATCAGGTGGGCACACAAGGAAAACAGAGCAATCTGGAGGCAGGATATTTGGACTGAGTTTCAGGCGGTCTGTGTGCTACTGAACTCTTAAAAAATACACACTGATAAAAGCCCCAAGTTTAAATATCTCATATACACTATACAGGTTATTGGTTGACTATTCCTTGTTTCTCATTACTGATTGTGAGAGCTGATTTCACTGGCTAGCATAGATGAAAGTCTTACATTTAACACTCAGATTCCTTTTTTTTTTCCCTCTGATCTCTTACACAGGCAGAGGACTTCTTTGAAACCAGTAGCGAGGAGGAGGCTGATGCTGAGGAAGCTGGAGGCACAAATTCTGTCGTTGATGTTGAAGATCTCGGCAATATCATGAGCCACATGAAGAAAGCAAAGGTACCACTGTTACAGCGAGTATAGAACTGTTAGGTCTTTGTCACTGATCAGTTGAATTGATTAAAATATTACCTGCTGGATTAGAACCTGTAGGATCTAGTTAGAGGGAAAGTAAAATATGAGATATTGGAGAACCTGTCCCAAAAAAGAATGTACTTGGAGGTGTGTTGGATATAGTTACCAGCCATGACTTTTCACTGAGCAAATACTGCAATGGTAACCTGTTGTTTTCGATCTGAGGAAAAATGCTTCCATAGCTCACACTCAGGTCTGAATGTACATCTCTGCCGCTGCGATTCACAGTCCAGTGTCTAAACACAAATCCTGTTACTGTCTCTGCCCATGTTGTGCTGGGGAGCAGAGCTGCTGGTGGAGTGGTAACACACTGGTGCAAGAGCTTCTGTGTCTTGCTTGCTGCTGCCCTAAGAGGAGGTGCTGTGCTCGCAGAGCAAGCCGGTGAACTTGATCTGTGCTGAGCCTGTCAAAGACAACCATGATTCCTGCTTCGTTTTTGGGGTGTTGCTATCTCTGTTTCTGTGTTCAAAGAGTCTGCAAACAAGATAGACCAAACTCATTTATTTGGTTAGCACACAAAAAGGAGTGAGGATCTAAATAGCTACTAGGCTAAGTCTCAGTGTGCTTGCCACGCTGTCAGCCGAGCAGTTGGGAGGGGAAGGGCCATCCCCGGGCGGAAGGGTGATGTCCTGTGGTGCCATCTGCTGACTCTGGTTCCCCCCCCATCTTTCCATGGCGGTGTCTTTTCACATGAGCTGCTATCTATCCCCCTCTTCAACAAACCTACCTCTGTCTGTAATTACACCTTCCTTATCTTGCCATGCCTCTATGGTGTGCACTTCTCACGGCTCTTTCCTGAAACGTAACCGTCTCCTCAGCAGTCTGAGCCAAGGTGACAGTGCTGGGCTGCAGCAAGCCAGGCCTTGGCTGCAGGCTTAGGAGGGAAATGGGTTGCAAGGGGAGCATGGGGATCTCTGTTCCTCAGCTTAGGGAGAGGGCAGGATGTAAAACACGCTTCCTGCTGCTTGTAACAGAAACTCTCCGCTTTAGGAGAGCGGCCCCACTGACGTGGGGGGCGAGGCAGACCGCTGTGCGAGAGCACCCGTGCCTGAGCTAGTGTCAGCTTGGCCACTGCGGTTTGCAAGAGAAGGGTGGATGGATGAACCGTTTGGCTTTCCTTTGGAGGGAGAAAGGGTCAATCTTCCTGTGTAACTGCTGTGAAGTGGTCCCCTTCCTCCTCTCCTGCATGTGCTCACCACTAGAGGTCACCCACAAAGAGGGATCTGCGTTTTCTGTCGCAGCATGTCCTGGGAGATGATTTAGACCAGGGAAGGGACGTGTTGTCGTCCAGCAGTTTTATGTAAAATTAGGCATTGAGTTTTCACTGACTGACAACGTATGGCAACACCATGATCAAAGTGTATTGTAAACCAGGAAAACCACTCGGAGTCCAGTTTATGAATACAAAGTGAGCACAGCAATAAAACACTCTCTGCTCTTAGCTTCTCGTGCTCCTTGTTCTGGTAGTGAGCACGGCTGAAGTCAGTGCGGTATTGGTTTTATATGTAGGCAGTTAAAATTCATTGCTGTCTAAGACTTTGGCTGATGCATGATTCAAACAACTGACTACTTTTTTCTTGGCTTTCTTGTTGCTCCGCTTCAGCGGTGAGAGGCCTGTGTGTTGTACGTGCAAGTTACTGCAGAAGTGCAAGTATCTGTGTGTAGATCAGGTTCTTGTGGCCCTGACTGAAGTAGCCTCTCTGATCCGAGGGACAGCTTCGTCTGAGCACAGATGCTCACCTCAAGCTGCAGTTTCTGATCTGCTGTCTTTTCCTCGGCGGGGGTGGCAAACACTTGTTCTGCCCTGGCAGTCGAATGCTGCTCTCTTGCCTCTGCAAATGGTTGAATCCTTAAAGTGCAAGTCTCTGTGTGGGACAGTGGTGAGGACTGGGAGCGCGCTGTGCGTGGAAGTGTCCTGGCCCTTTTGGATATGAGCTGCTGTCAGCTGAGACAGGAGGCCCTAAAACTGTGGGTCCACCTGCCTTTGTTGCCGATGCCACTGAACTACTGTAGTCGTGTCCCAGGTTTTTGGACTAATTTTGAAACCTTAAACCATGTAGTTCTCATTACTGGCCCCTTTATTTCTGTTCTGCGTGGTTGATCTGCCTAGCTACAATCTACATTTCTGGTTTCATGCTTCTGTAACCAGAGCAGGTAATGGAGAAAGGGCCCTCAGCGGTGACTTCGATGCAAATCCTCAGCGCTCTTCCATGTCACTTCCAGAGTGATGGCAGGATATAGCTGTGTAAATATTTCATGAGGGAGCCTGGACCTGATGGCTAATCCTTATCATTAGCTGGGAGAAAGAATGACTTTGCCTTGGTGGTGAATCTCCTGGGGAATGTGCGGATTAACTCGCAACAGGTTTATGCAAACACTTGAATTGTAAAACGATCCCATAGGTGCAGTTATTTACTATAACAAAAATAAATGCTGAAGACTTGATATGAAAGAGCAGGATGATCTGCATTTATGAAAGTAATTCATCATGATCAGGCTCTCTTGCTCCCAGGTGGGAAGATTTAGTTGTTTAAATGTATCTCTGTTAAGTCACATCCTCGCTTTAGTGGCTATGAATTTGTGCAATAAGAAATTATTTTTCAGATAAGTTACATTGTCCCCTTTTAGCCATTTTTTCTTTCACAGAACGATGAACAGTGTAAAATTAGTGGGACACTTTTCTTTTACACTGGTGTAATCTTGCAGTAATCCCTACCAACACAGGCAAGTGCTTTGGGTTTTTGTATCTGAACTATCCATATACAACCTAGCAAGTTTAAAGAAAACTTGTGTATTTCAGGGTTATATCACAGACACTTCTTCATGCCCAGAGTTACTTGGATTTGAAATGTGCCTAACGGTTTCCAGCACAGGTTTTGTGGATTTCAGTGTTGTGTATTAACTCCTCTGCATATGGGAGATAGAGTAGGAGGTTCTGCCTTGTGCAATATAGTTAATTTGAAACTTTTTAGGGTCCAGCTTTGATCTATTTTGCAGGCATGTATTGCCTCTTGTGAGAATCACTCAGATAAGACAGACATGCAGTCAGACAGTCATAATTCCTTGTTGTCCTGCCTTTTATGGGATATCAGAGTGAGGCTGTGGAGGCAAGTACATCATAGAAGTTTGGGTTGGAAGGGACCTTTCAAGGCCATCTAGTCCAACCCCCTGC